GTGTGTGTGTGTGTGTGTGTGTGTGTGTGTGTGTGTGTGTGTGTGTGTGTGTGTGTGTGTGTGTGTGTGTGTGTGTGTGAGTGCGTGTGTGTGTGTGTGTGTGTGTAAGCGCGTGCGCAAGCACGCGCAAGCATGCTGCAACACACACGTATATATGTATATGTATGTACGTATGCAGTTGTCGTCTCAATTGGTGTGTTATAACAAACAGAAGTCTGATATGCTATTCCGTTATTACAATATCCGTTTTCGTTTTTTTTTTGTCTTTACATCGTATTCGTCTTCATATTCCGGGGGTGCGTGTAAAATACAAATGATTTGCGTATGTTTTCCTTTTTTTTCTTCCCTTTTTCAAATAATCATCCAGAACAGGGGGGTGTCTGGGCTCCAGGGACAGGGACCAACTACAGCCCGCACTCTTACAACTCTTACTAATTAACTAACAGACTAACAATAACAACAAGTCAACACTCAAAATGTGTGCTGTATGTGTTCATGCATTTGTAAACATTACATTTTACATCCTACTTCAATCTGTGACTATCATTATCAAATTCGTAGTCAGTCATCTTTAAAAACTTCTTTCTTTTTTTTGTAAAAGAATACAAGAAACAAATTTACTTTTTACATAAAATTTAGAAGAAACAATACACTCTTTTTTTATTTCCCTTTCAAAGGGAATAGATTCACTTTAGATATTTGTTTTCAACGATCGATTTTTTAATTTTTCAAATATAAAAAAAGAAACACATTAACAAATAAATATATTATAATTTGGATCCGAGTTTGCCTTGCTACTTGGATACTGTCATTGAAAAATTTACTGTACAAGTGGGTTTCCTCTCGATTGTGAGCAATATTCTTTTTTTTTTTTTCATTTTTCTTTTTCTTACCCAATAGAACCCTCGCGTGACCGTAACCAAAACCTAATCTGGGAGACATTCGCAGAGCCGTTGCAACTCGTTTCATACTCGCTACTTTCGCAAAACTTTGCCTGTGTGACTCTTAATAATAATAGTTTCACTGACTGTACATTTATAGACCAACAATAGAAGGTCTTGCACGCTTGGCGCGCTCCACGCACAAATACACATACAGATACATTCCGTTTAAAGACAACTTTTCTCTTTCTCGCTCTCCTTTCTCTCTCTCTCTTTCTCCCTGCCTCTCTCTCTCTCTCTCTCTCTCTCTCTCTCTCTCTCT